CTCATGATCAGCTGTGGTGCGTACATACTGACAGGATGCTTGGTATCAAGACTCATTAAGGTAGGATGTGAATGGAGGCTACCCAGTCTGGTACAAACCAACAGAATCGCTACTATAGTACAAATTAAGGTAATTTGGTAACACTTTACTAGAGGGGGCACAAATACTTCTTGTAACTGGCTACTACTGAAGTACAAAGCAAGAACAAATATAATCACTACTTGTGATAAAAGATGCATCATGATTCATTTAGGATGCACAAATATGACATCAGTATTTCACTTGTATTATTCATTACTTGTTCCTTCGGTGGTTCCTTCTGTAGTTCACAAAGATTTCCAGAATTAACTGATAAAGTAGCAAATATAGTAATTGCTTTGAATAAAAGATGCATCACAATTCATGAATGATGAACAAACACAAGATCAGTATGTCACTAAGAAAGTTTTTGGTAAATGAATAAGTAAGTAATAGGATAATACTATATTATTTGTACCTCCTCAGTTAAAGTGTTACCGATAATTTTAATGACAGTTATGGGAGTGAGGTGTCATGACACATAGTGCATTAAGCTCTGCTGCGCATGGGGCTGCTCAGCTGCAAACTTCTTGGGCCAACATATCCCACAGCTGCTCAACTCACCCAGCTGTCCACATGATGCAACAGGAAATGAGATTCACTGGACCAGGTGACCTTCTTCCATTGCTCCAATATTCAGTTCTGATGCTTCCATATCCATTATAGACTCTTTTAATGGTAGACAGGGGTCAACATGGGCACTGACTGGCTTGCGGCTACGTAGCTCCATACTCACTAGGGCTTGATGCACCTTGTGTCGTGATACATTACTCACGTGACCCTGACTATAATTATTTGCCATTTCTTCTACAGTGTTTGCACCAGATGGGATTGATGAGTCTTGTTTGTCTAACACCCTGTCGGAAGTTCATGGTTTTTCCCTCCTCGGACCCCTCTCAGTTGGTACTCACCATGGCCGACTATGAGCCCCCAAAAACCTTGCCATGTCGGAGATGCTCTGACATAGTACTCTGGTTATATGACAATTTAGCTCTTGTTAAAGTCACTCAGGTCTTTATCTCTGCCCATTTTTTCTGCATTTTGACTACAAGTACCAAATGCAGTACATACAGAAGTTTATCGTTTACCAAAAAAATCCAAACCTTGGGTTTTTACGAGATAATCAACATTATTTGCTTCACATAGGGGTGGTAATAGTTTTTCTCTTCATCTGTGTATAATTTTACCCAAATGAAACTAAAGAAATATGGTGCTCTACAGTATTTGCTGCTTGCTGTGATTGATACAGCCTTAGTGTACAAAATTCAGTTAAACAGCATGCAGAATTACAGTATGTTTACAGTTCTTATTTCACAGAATGATATCTGTTTACAATATAATTTATTAATTAGAATCAATGTTTTAAAGGTAAAACAATATTTGCATCTGCATTATATTCATTTAAAAAAATAAATAAATACGGAACTACATGCATTCCACAGGAGTAGTAGAGCATGGTGATGTCAGTAGATGTCTGCCACCATTACAGGGCTTGGGGAG